TCTTTCTCTGTATAAATCTCAAACTTATCAATAACTTTCTCTTCTGTATATTGCGATGTTGTTCTGGGGCTAATGGGTCTCGAACATTAATATGTACTGAATCAAGTTTCTTTTTGCACATTTTATGTATAATTAATTACCTGAAGTAATTAAATGTTAAAATTGAAAACTCTGCTCCCATGTCTTGTGGCTGAAAAGTCGATGCAGTTGTTGGGCTCCCATTATTTAAGAGTAATAAAAGATTTGAAAAAATGATTTAAAGATAGTAAATAGTGAGTGTTTAAACTTAAATGGGTGCTTGTAAAAAGCTCCCTTCAAATTTATTGAAGAAAAGACTCAATGCGAATATTGCTAGTCCAACTTGAACCATTTTTGGTATACTAAATGGTCAGGAGCAGTGATATACATGGGCTTAGCCAAATTGGCTAAAGCATATATGCTTTTCACTTTCCACCCAAATTCAAATTCCCCTCGCCTCGCAGTGTTTAAAGTATAATATCTTTTGTATAAAAAAAAATAAAAAAGTGTGGAGTAGTGAGTATCTAGTCTCACACGTGAGACCGGAGTTCAAATGGCATTTTCTCCCTCATGTGTGCACTTGTATCAACAATAATCCATTCCATTTGTCATTTTTTTATTCGATAACATTCTCATTCGCATTTCTTTCTTGGCTCTTTGTTTTTTGGTTTTTAGCATTTCAATTCTTTATACCAATAATTTAAATTTAAATTTAATCTTAAAAGACCAAGAACGGCTCTAGCTTTGACATATGCTTGCTTGATCACACCTGTTGGACCACCAATTGGCCTTAAACAAGTGGACCACCAATCACGGGTGAGTGGGGGTTGGTTTCAGAGAAGAAGATAATAAACAAGAACTGGGAATAGCAAAACATCAGATGAGTCTAACCATATCATCACATTGCATATAGAATGAAAACCATTAACACACAAGTCTTATAGGCATCACCACATGACAGAAAAAGACATACAAAGCATAACAACACAGGATGGTTCAAACTTCAATCTGACTTCTTAGTAATCATCCCCTTCATCATCCTCACCCTCAGCAGACTCGGCACCGACTTCTTCATAATCCTTCTCAAGGGCAGCGAGATCCTCACGGGCTTCAGAGAACTCTCCTTCCTCCATACCCTCACCCACATACCAGTGCACAAAGGCACGCTTGGCATACATCAGATCAAACTTGTGGTCAATTCTGGAGAACACCTCAGCAACGCTGGTTGAGTTGGAGATCATGCACACAGCCCTCTGAACCTTGGCGAGGTCACCTCCTGGGACAACAGTGGGTGGCTGGTAGTTGATACCGCACTTGAATCCGGTAGGGCACCAGTCCACAAACTGAATGGTGCGCTTGGTCTTGATGGTGGCAACAGCAGCATTCACATCCTTGGGCACAACATCACCACGGTACATGAGGCAGCAAGCCATGTATTTGCCGTGGCGAGGGTCACACTTGGCCATCATAGACGAGGGCTCAAATGCACTGTTAGTGATTTCAGCCACTGAGAGTTGTTCATGGTAAGCCTTCTCAGCAGAGATGACTGGTGCATACGAGGAAAGCATAAAGTGGATTCTGGGGTATGGCACCAAGTTGGTCTGGAATTCAGTCACATCCACATTCAGAGCACCATCAAACCTCAGAGAGGCAGTCAAAGAGGAAATGACCTGAAAAAACAAAAGAGAACCAATTTAATAACAAGAAATTTCATATACATCCATAAGATCTAAATTCATTATCTTCAAACTTAAGCACCAGATGGTCATCCGTACCTGAGACACAAGTCGGTTGAGGTTGGTGTAGGTGGGTCGCTCAATGTCAAGAGAACGCCTGCAGATATCATAGATGGCCTCATTGTCGAGTAGCACAGCAACATCTGTGTGCTCCAGGAGAGAGTGGGTGGAGAGGACACTGTTGTAGGGCTCAACCACAGATGTAGAGACCTGTGGAGAGGGATACACAGTGAACCCAAGCTTTGACTTCTTTCCATAGTCAACAGACAAACGCTCCAAAAGAAGAGACCCGAGACCAGAGCCAGTGCCTCCACCAACAGCATTGAACACAAGGAAACCTTGAAGCCCAGTGCAGTTGTCAGCAAGCTTACGGATGCGGTCCAAGCAAAGATCAACGATCTCTTTGCCAATGGTGTAGTGGCCACGGGCAAAGTTGTTGGCAGCATCTTCCTTGCCACTGATGAGCTGCTCAGGGTGGAAGAGCTGGCGGTAAGTTCCAGTCCTCACTTCATCGATGACAGTGGGCTCAAGATCAACAAAGACTGCACGAGGCACATGCTTGCCAGCTCCGGTTTCACTGAAGAAGGTGTTGAAGGCATCATCTCCTCCACCAACGGTCTTGTCACTAGGCATTTGGCCATCAGGCTGTAAATGAAGGCAAATAATTAGAAACTAACATACTAATCCAATCAAAACTACGCTGATAAACACTAATAAATAACAATCGTTTATATAACTTAAGATTGGCAGTTCACACTATAATTAACAATAAAAGCTGAGCCCATAACAAATTTTAGCTAATTGAGCAGAGAGCTATAAACCAGCGTGATTAATCTACACTTATCTATCCAATGTCAAAACATGCAACCTTTAGAAGTAAAAAACACTACAAAATTTGAGCGAGTGAGGAACAAATTGGTACAATTAACAAATAGTACGAAATCCATTTTAAGAAATTATGCAGATCTGATCTGTCTGGCAACAGATCCGAGCTAAACAAGGTTTCTTACAACACTACTAATGTTAATTTTTTATGCAAATCAAAACTCACATTTCTAGGCTCAATCGATTGATGAAAAACACGGATCTAACTGAATTTTGAATGAAATGTAGATAAAATCACAGATCTGATCAACACTAAGAATCACCGCATAAAAGCTACAGATCTAACAGAAACATAACAAAACTAGAACAAATCACAGATAAAAAATCCAAGTAAATATACGAACAGCATCGACAGAGAAATGGATAGAGAGTTTACCTGGATGCCATGCTCAAGGCAGTAAAGCTCCCAGCAGGCATTGCCGACCTGTATACCAGCCTGACCGATGTGGATCGAAATGCACTCTCTCATTTTGATCGATTAAACGCGACGAAAAAACCGAAGAATTCTGAGAATAAGAAGAACAAGAAGAAGAAGAGGCTCTCACGAAGAAGAAAAGTCGAAGGCGTTTATTAAGACGCCCTCTTTTTCAGATTGAGATGAGATCTGAGGGTGGGCTTGGGGCGAGATATTTATAACTGGAAATGGGAAGTGGCAGATGCAAAACTTAAACTGAGGTCTAGGGTTTGGTTAAGATTGGGAGGGAACGGACGGCGCAGAATTGACCGTTGGCTGTCTCTGATGTGATGCTGGCCTGGCTTAACCACCTCTTTTAACCACAGTTGTCTTTCTCTGTGTTTTTTTGTTTTAAAAATTAAATTTTGCCGCCGAAGGACCGTAGTAGTAAGGTTATTTCCGTAATACTTGTATAATCTGTCTATACAGGAGACTTTGGAAAAACACAAAAGGGAGAGAAAATTTGTAAAAGAAGTCAAAATGGACAAAATTGCCCTTATTTATTTTTGGATTTCCTAAGAAATCCTTTACATTTGCATGTCTTTGATTTGAAAGTTGAGAAGTTTTTCTGTCTTTTTTGAAAAAACTTTGGCTTTTTCCAAAAGTGAAATTTTTTTTTGGTCTAAAACTTAAATTTACTTAAAGGAAAGGAGGGTAAAATGCAGAAAATGGTGAAACATTCAAAATACCAAAAAAAATTCTTGGTTAATTCAAACATTAAGAATTGAGATTATTAATTAAATGAGGATAATATGGTAAATTCACATTTTTCATATTTAAAAAATTAAAATTAAAAATAAAATCAGATAATAGGTCCTATTTGATTTTGTTTTTAATTTTAATTTTTTTTAAAGTGTGAATTTACCATATTATCCTCATTTAATTAATAATCTCAATTCTTAATGTTTGAATTAACCAATGAAATTTTCTGGTATTTTGAATGTTTTACCATTCTCTGCATTTTGCTTTATATATATAGATACTAACCTCTCTGCACTCGTTTCCGTGCCTCCGAGAGGCCTTTTTTAAAAGAATTTAATTTTTTTTATAATTAAAAAGATAATGGGTAGTTGTGTTTCGTAAAAATAGGATCCATTATCTGACTTTTCTTTTAATTTTAATTTTTTTTAAAGTGTGAATTTACCATATTATCCTCATTTAATTAATAATTTTAAGGGAGTTTCACTAAAATACCCAAAATAGGGGTTGAAATTATAAAAAAACTCAAGCATTATTTAAATATATAAATACACCCAAAACCCATCATTACACACACTCAAAACCCATTTATAAACACACTCAAAAAGTTGACTTTATGGTTGATTTTGAGTGTGTTTCTATGTTTAAATAGTGCTTGGTTTTTTTTATAAATACATATTTAGGATTGAGTTTATTTATAAATTTGTATGTTTGCATTAACCAAGGGTATTTTCAAGTATTTTGAATGTTTCACCATTTTCTGCCTTTTGCTTTATATATATATATATAGATAACTACCCATGTTATTTTTTCTTAATTTTAAAAATAAAATAAAAAATAAAAAATAAAACCAATTGGCACATGCTTACGGCTAGTTGAGTACTATGCTATGGTTTATGGTTTTTTTAAACAAAAAAATTGAACGGGAATGAAAATCTCAAATGCAAAATTTTTTTGTTGGACAAAAACTTATAACAAAAGGTGCAACATTATGAAAATATTGCTAAATTAATAGTTAGTTGGTACTATTAGTACAAATTATATGACTTTCAACTCAAATCCAGTTGAATCGAACTCGATTTTTGAATTGATTAGGAGTTTTGCATATGTAATCTCTCGTAAACTCTTTTTTTTTTTTTTTTCAGGTAATACAAGTAAAAAGAAAATTCTAAAGTATGGATTTATACGAAGATATGGCATATTATTAATTAAAAAAGCATATAATTCAAAAAATTCATGTGGCCAACACTATATACTTTGTATGATGGTGATAATAATGCGGGAAGGGCCACAAATGTGTAGCCAAAGCAAAGCAATCCCGGCCCTACCCAACTACCCCAATAGATGTCTTTGTCACTGGTAGCATGGCAACTATGGAAAAGCTTCCCTTGGGAATGTGATTTACCATTGGCAATATCATTCCTAATGAAACAGTGACTATTTCCTTGGTTTGGTGGCCAGATGATCACTTTCAAGAAGAATGCTAGGGTCCGGCGTTGGCAGCTCTAGCTATCCATCAATTGCTGATAGTCACCCACTTGTGAAGGAACGTTTAAGAGATTAGAAATCCACCGGAACTTGAAATGATCTTGTAAAATATTTATTAACTGATTATATTCACATGCCAATAGAGAAAATGAGTCAATATAGATGGCATTGAACTATCCTTATAACAATGAAAAGAATCGAAGATAATGAAATCAGACGAGTATATGCTATACCAAACAGGACCCTACATGCAGCTCTCAATGGAAAATTTCATTTTTGACAGGATTTCTGTCGACATTATATGTATTATACAGGGGGAACCCAACCATCATCCCACCTCCCCAAAACAAAATTTTATCCTGCTATGCTATTATACATGGTGCTAAATCAAAATCACAAGAATATCTTGTGTACCTTTTCAGGCAGGAAGTTACATCATACTTATAATTCTTTCCAGACCAGAACCATGGTTTTTATGCTATCTTCTCATCACCCTTGATTTCAAGTAGTCCTCCTTTATTGTTTATTGTATACTCCTCCTATTCTGGTGTGAGATTATAGTTGAACAACTCTCTTCTCTGAGTGGAAGTATCAGGTTGCCGGCTGTGTGCCAGTCCACGGACGACTTTCATCTTCAAAATTGCGGAGTTTCTGGTTGCGGTTTTCTTGTACGTAGGTTACTCCAGTCCATATCCCACGGATGAGTAAGATGCTTACAAACACTAGACTTCCAAGGGTGCAAACAACCTAGATTTAAAACAGACAAAGAGAAAGATCATAACAAGCTTTTATAAGGAGAAGCCATCCAGGTGCTGTGTAAGTCAAAATAAATTACAGATATGACTCATGCCTGATGCAAACACGCAGATAAGACTGTGAATACTGTTTTCTATGCCTAGTATGACACCACAAGTGAGCCCTCAATAAGATCACCAACTATAAGAGCAGTCTGATTTGAAAAGCCATATACTTTAACAACTGTCAACATTTCAAATCTGTCAAAGGCCTTCTAAACATAGAGAATGTAGCACTCACTAAAAGATCAAGGCTTTGGAAAGGAAAAAAAAATATGCAACTGCAGCTTCAGGGTCTACTAACCACAGACCGAGCAGAGTTAACCATTACTAGGACACTTTGCCTGCTGAGTTCTTCTTTCCAGATGAATCAGCTTTGACAAAGAGCTAACTCTTCCCATCTGTAACCGAGCTTTCCACAAAGACGATAAAAGAATCAAAGTGCTGCAAGTATTATCATTTGCATTGCAAAACTGCTATCCGATGAAGTGCAATAGCAGAGATACTACTTGTTTTTATACTATTTTATTTCTCCCTTACTATTAATCGACTTTATTTCTTTTTTAGATTTATTCATAGAAAAGAACCATGGCCTGTGTTGAGTCCAGTAACTCTAAAATCCTGTGGTATCAAGAAACAAGGCCACTTTGCAAAACTGGTGTTAAGGAAGAATAATCACACAAGCAACAAATGGTTCAAGTTTTAAAATTTCAGTCCATAAAATAACAGAACACAAATTTGATAAATTAAACTTGGTAGGGGATAAAAAGAAAAACAGGAGGCCACACTGCTAGCTAATGTTACCAACCGCGTATGCAGAATGGGGGTTTAAACTAACATATTTGCTCAATGAATTGAGAACCAAAACATGCTGGGAAAAGACCCTTAAAAGAACCAGTAACAATACTCAAGAGCATGCAATTGATCATGAACTCACATGGATATGAAACCCATAACAGCTCATTGATAACCAAATAAATGGACGTTTGTATACATGTATGTGGATTGCATATATAATTACCTCAAGAAATGCCTTCAAGACCCATAAAAATGCCAGCATGAGCACCCCATTGACAGAAAACCCCACCTGTGTATAAGCCAAGCCAACAAAAAACAGTTCAACAATTCAGCTATAATAATCCCAGCTTTCTTTCAAAAAATTGAAAAATGGAACCCAAATTTATAATCAATGGTTACCAATTTGGTGGGAATTGAGACGGGGAGAACTGATCGTACGGCCCTCCTGGCTCGCCTGGAGACCTTCTTGAACATATTCTGAACAAACCTCACCAATAAATCCAAACTCCTATCTTCTTCTTCATCATCGTCGTCATCCTCATCGTCTTCATCATCGTCTTCGAAATTATAGTGCCGGTCGACCTCGGAGTTGATCGAACGGCTCCAGTTGCGCGGATCATCAACCAGATTATCAGCGCCGCCCTGTGAAATGAAGAGTCCAAAGCGTTAATTGATTAGAATTGTAGAGAGAGAGAGAGAGAGAGTGAGTGAGTGAGGACCTGAGGGTAATTAGGGGTTCGTCTGGAGGCTTGGGCGCATTGAAATTGAAGACTGAAACTTTTCGGTTTGAGATAGGGATTGAGAGTGTGAGGAAGATGCAATTGTTGTTGGTATTGTTGTGTTTGAGGGAAGTAAGAAAGAGTGGGAGGTGAGAGAGTTGCAGAGAAGGGCATGGTGTGGTGAATGAGACTACGAGAGAGACAGAGAGAGGGCGAGAAAAGGAGAGAGGGAGAGGTAGTTGAGCTGGAATGACTGGTTAGTTTGAGATTGGCTTCGCTGAAAAAGGAACTCTATTGCCACCCAGCTAAATGCTCACCACACCCTCCCACGTTGTTGTGAACTCTAAAATCCAATTTTACCCTTTTTGAACTAAAAATAAAAATAAAAAACTAAAAATTCCTTGCCACTGCTGGCGGCGGCACCCTTCCTCCCCTTGTCGGCCGCCAACCCTTCCCTCCGACTTGAGTCCCTCTCCTTCCCCTTATCGATCTCAATTGAATTGGCGGCTAAATAAATCATTGACCCCTTATCTAAAGACTCGCAAGGTCAACATCATCGGCCTTTGCCGCTAATTCAAGTTAAAGAAATATCAAAGGAGGATGAAAATAAGTCTCCAATACTAGGTTTTTTTTTATTTTTAAAAAAAAAAAATGAAAGTGTCCCTTCCTTTTAGTGAAAGTGTATCAAAGACTATTAACACTACTCAATAGTCACTCAATATGATACAATTGAGGAAAGTCAAGGGCAAGGCCAAGGCCATATTAATCCTTTGCTCCAGTTCTCTAAGCTTAGTTCATAAAGAGTCAAAGTCACACTGGTCACTACCCAATTGGCCTACAACACAATTATGCAGGCTGCAGGATTACTATCTAGTTGCAATATTCTGCTGCAGGAGACCATTTCCGATGGATATGACGAAGGAAGGAGCGCGCAAGCCGAAAGCATAGATGCCTATGTGGAGAGATTTTGGCAAGTAGGGTCACAAACCTTGTCCCAGCTTCTTGAGAAGCTATCAAGCTCTGCGGGGTCCAAAGTTGATTGTCTTGTTTATGATGCATTAATGCCTGGGGCTTCAGATGTTGCCAAAAAGTTTGGAATATTTGGGGCAGTTTTCTTCACTCGGTCTTGTGCTGTTAACCACATTTACTACCATGTCCACAAAGGACTGCTCAAACTTCCTTTTAGTACTGCTGCTGCTGTTGATGATGATGGTCAGTCTAACATTTTGCTTCCCGGGTTGCCACCACTTGAACCTTCGGACTTGCCATCCTCTGGAAACTATTCAAGGTCTTACCGGGCTATCTGTAAAATGGCAGTGGATCAGTCCTCTATTGTTGACAAAGCTGAATGGATTTTTTCCAACACATTTTATGATTCTGAAAAAAAAGTGTTTGAAGTTTCAGTTAAAAACAAAGGACTGTTAGGCTCATCATATTTTGTGCCAGATTTTGCTTCGCTAAAGCAATTAATTTGGCGAGCCTAGTAGATATAGCCAAAGAAAGATGACATATTTCCACACCAATCATATTATTTTCTTTTCATTTAATTAACTAATGTTTTAATTGGAATACACAGGTAGTGGATTGGATGGCTAAGTTTTGGCCTGTGAGGTCAATTGGACCAACCATACCATCCAATTACTTGGACAAGAGACTTGAAGATGACAAAGAATATGGTGTCAACCTATTCAAACCAGACAATGGTGCCTGCATAAAATGGCTAAATGACAGGCCAAAAGGCTCTGTCGCTTATATATCGTTTGGCAGTGCACCAAAACTTGAAGTTCAGCAAATGGAGGAGCTGGCTTGGGGTCTAAGGAGGAGCAAAACTAATTTCTTGTAAGTGGTTAGAGAATCAGAAGCAGCTAAGGTGCCAAAAGCATTCATGGGATGAGAAAGGTGCCGTAAGACAAGAAGCAGTAGAACATTGTATAAGTGAAGTAATGGAGGGAGAGAAAGGGAAAGAAATACAGAGGAATTCAATCAAATGGAGAGACTTAGCCAGGAAGGCAGTGTGTAGTCTGCGGGGTCCAAAGTTGATTGTCTTGTTTATGATGCATTAATGCCTGGGGCTTCAGATGTTGCCAAAAAGTTTGGAATATTTGGGGCAGTTTTCTTCACTCGGTCTTGTGCTGTTAACCACATTTACTACCATGTCCACAAAGGACTGCTCAAACTTCCTTTTAGTACTGCTGCTGCTGTTGATGATGATGGTCAGTCTAACATTTTGCTTCCCGGGTTGCCACCACTTGAACCTTCGGACTTGCCATCCTCTGGAAACTATTCAAGGTCTTACCGGGCTATCTGTAAAATGGCAGTGGATCAGTCCTCTATTGTTGACAAAGCTGAATGGATTTTTTCCAACACATTTTATGATTCTGAAAAAAAAGTGTTTGAAGTTTCAGTTAAAAACAAAGGACTGTTAGGCTCATCATATTTTGTGCCAGATTTTGCTTCGCTAAAGCAATTAATTTGGCGAGCCTAGTAGATATAGCCAAAGAAAGATGACATATTTCCACACCAATCATATTATTTTCTTTTCATTTAATTAACTAATGTTTTAATTGGAATACACAGGTAGTGGATTGGATGGCTAAGTTTTGGCCTGTGAGGTCAATTGGACCAACCATACCATCCAATTACTTGGACAAGAGACTTGAAGATGACAAAGAATATGGTGTCAACCTATTCAAACCAGACAATGGTGCCTGCATAAAATGGCTAAATGACAGGCCAAAAGGCTCTGTCGCTTATATATCGTTTGGCAGTGCACCAAAACTTGAAGTTCAGCAAATGGAGGAGCTGGCTTGGGGTCTAAGGAGGAGCAAAACTAATTTCTTGTAAGTGGTTAGAGAATCAGAAGCAGCTAAGGTGCCAAAAGCATTCATGGGATGAGAAAGGTGCCGTAAGACAAGAAGCAGTAGAACATTGTATAAGTGAAGTAATGGAGGGAGAGAAAGGGAAAGAAATACAGAGGAATTCAATCAAATGGAGAGACTTAGCCAGGAAGGCAGTGTGTAGAGGTGGAAGTTCTGATAAAAACATTGATGAGTTCATTGCAAAACTGCAGGTTCAGCCCTAGCTTCTGGTAAAGTTCATTGAATTCAGAGAATTGTCTTGGGTTAGATGAAATTTGATATGAGGTATTGTATTTGGTTACATTAAAGTTACCACTTTTTTACATTTTTTTTTTAAAAGAAGAGTTTCTAATAAGCACATAATTGTGCTCTACTTATTTTAGCATTGGAAATTATTTCCTTCCATAGACAAAATCTTATAGGTTTCCATTCAATCGTTGTTTTGTTAATTTATACTTATTCACTATAAAACAAAATGCTATGTCCATTTCTAAAGTAATTTTTGCAAATGAATATTTGTCATTCTATTTTCAATAGATTCACACGTCTAACCTAAACTCTAAACACAATTTTCTTATTTTCTTATTTTATTTTTACTTTTATTGATACAAGCTGTATTCTACTTTAATCTAATATAAATTACGATGAGGGAGATTCGAACTCGGGTACAGAGTGGGAAGCACATCCACTATGGCCAACTTGACTAAGCTTATGTCTGTCTTAATTATTTTTTATTTAGAGAAGAGAATGACAAAAACTATACCCTCAAGTGTCACTTGAAAGAAAATGAAATGTCAATTAACACAATAATTCCGCTATGTCTAGGATGTCCAAATTTTAACAAGGACGGGACTATTTATATGTCATCAATCTAATTTTTAATTAAGATCGGACTATATTGATATGTAGTCATGTGTTGATGTATACGAACAGTGCAGTCTTTAATTAAAGACAAAGAATTTTTGTCATAACTAAAAAAAGTAAATGCTTGAGCTTGAGAAGCTTCTGGTCCAGTGGGCCCGTAAAACTCACTAGGATAGGCGGTATTATTGAACCAAACAAAGCAACAAGCAATAAAACCAAAAACAGATAAAGCAGCTAAACTATAAGACAGGTAAGCCTCTCCAGACCATACAAGTGCACGGCGAGCCCATGCAAAAGGTTTGGTTAAGATATGCCAGATTCCACCAAGTATACAAATGGAACCTAACCATACATGCCCTCCAATTATATCTTCCAAATCGTCCACACTAACGATCCACCCCTCTCCGCCAAAGGGGGATTAAATCGTCACTTTTGCAACATAAATACCAGGATGAAAAGAAATATTTATAAGATGACAACGACCATTGATAAGATTTGGATACAATCTTATTGGAACCACACGTAGTGCTTAAAAGCTGTTTTTATTTTACTCATGTGGCTTTTCTAACACATAGCCATCACTGAACCAGCTTTGAAATGAACTCATCAATGTTTTTGTCAGAACTTCCACCTTCAGCCACTGCCTTTTTAGCCAACTCCTTCCATTTGAGGGCGTTGATTTTCATTTCTTTCCCTCTCTCTCCCTCCATTATTTCACTTATGCAGTGTTCCACTACTTCTGGTCCCACAAGCCCTTTCTCATCAGATGGAGCTGTGAGCCCTATTTTCCACACATCCATAATGAACTTGGCATTGGTTGTTTGGTCAGTCCATTGTGGCATTGCCAACATTGGAACCCCCAAACTCAAAGCCTCCAAAGTTGAGTTCCAACCACAATGTGTAACAAAGCAGCCAACAGCCTCATGAGCCAAAACCTCCATTTGGGAGCACCATGAGACCACCAAACCCTTCTCCGATGTCTCCTCGACGAACCCTTTTGGCACCTTAGCTGCTTCTGATGCTCTGACCACCCACAAGAAGTTACTTTTGCCCCTCCTCAAACCCCAAGCCAGCTCCTCCATTTGCTCAATGCCAAGTCTCGCGGCACTGCCAAACGATACATAAGCAACAGACCCTTTTGGCCTTTCGTTTAGCCATTTGATGCAGGCATCATTGTCTGATTTAAAGAGGTTGACACCATATTCTTTGTCATCTTCAAGTCGCTCATCTAAGTACTTGGATGGTATAGTTGGTCCAACAGTCCTCAGTGGCCAAAACTTAGCCAGCCAATCCACCACCTAAGCAAAGAATTAATACCAATTGGTTTCATTGAAGCTTATAAAAATTAATCATATATGACAGTTGAGAAAAAAGAATGAAAAAAAAAAAAAAAAAGCTTCCTTATGCACTCACTTGTTCTTCCAACTCATAGAATGTGTTGGAGAGGATCCAATCAGCTTTGTCAACATTGGAGAACTGACCCACAAGCACTTCGTAAAAAGCCGGGTAAGACCCAAAATCGTATAAAAACGACGGCAAGTCCAGAGGTTCAAGTGGTGGCAAGCCAGGAAACGAAATCTGAGACTGATCATCAGCAAGAG